TTGTAAGGCAACGTGAAATCTCTTTTGTGGACAGAAGGAAGGAGAAGAAGACATATTTTTTAGATGACGAATTTCAATATTATATGTAAATTTTGCATGTTTTTATGCTGTTTTATGGTTCCTTGCAGGAAAATGTTTCTCTTTTTTTGCGACCCATTGCCAATGAGATTTTTTTTAATGAGACTGTTGACAATCCCAAGCTGGCTTTCTTTTATATGGCCTTTTCTCATGCAATCTTCGATTTGTTTTGCTTCTTTATTTCCTTAATTTTTTATGCTTATGGATTAAGCAAAGAGTGGAAACTATCCCAAATATCCCATATATCCCAAAAATATTTAAAATAATCCCTGAGCCTGTATGCGTTAGAATTGAGATATCCCATCATATCCTGAAATTACACGTCCAATACACTAAGGATACGTTGGGATATCTTTTTTAACCGTGTACACATGCTCAGGAATTTTTTTAATATTTTTGGGATAAGTGGGATAAATATGATATTTGGGATAGTTTCCACGCCTTGGGATTGAGTGAGCTGTGATGTGGACAGTGTGATTTTATAGAATCAGCAATGTTTTTTGAATTTTAATGTCTTGACGATGGGTTAGGATAGGTTTTGGGATTCTAATACTGAAGACACTACGATTTATGATCTAAAGGATAAGAATTTTAATCCAGATAACTAAGGATAACCTCAAAAATGCATTTTTGTTGATTTTGGAAACATCCAAAATAATACAAATGCGCCCAAAACAGCCGTCCACAATCTTTTTGTATTGTTTTTGTGACTTCTTTACATTTCGCAAATAAATGCCGACAGAAAAGGCAAGAAACAAAGAGAAGATTGACAGTTCTTAAGAAAATGAGAAAGAAATTAGCTGAAATTATTATGAAACTGAAAATGAATCTTTTATTGTTTCGGATTCTATTTTAGACAATTCAAATGGCTTTGAAAGAATGACTTGATAAGTCTTTCCGTCTTTCTTTTAAAATTTAAATTTCCAAATTCCATCCAAATCAACAATTTTCCTTTTTTTTCCATGCAATTCTTCTCGAGGAAAGAATAATGCTTGATGAAGAAGAAGAGGAAGGAACAGAAAGAATTGTGCGACATTCGGGGCGATGGGCATGACATTTGTATATTTTTCATTCTTTTCAGCAATGAAGCACGAAATGTGAGTGGAGAAAAAAAAAATTGTTCTTTCTTCCTTCTTTTGCATTTCATTTGTTATTTGAATGACGACACTAGAATGGCTGCAAACAAGCAACATCAGAAGCGAGGGAAGAAACAGGCGGATATCAATTGTTATCATGTCTTAATGCATTCACCGTGAAGATTTACAGAATCCCTGAAAATCTCTTGCCTGCTCGAAAAACAAAAAAAAATTATTTCTCATGAATTTCTGAATCGAAAAGCATTTAAACTAAATTGAGAAGTGGTAGAGATGAAATGAATATATAAGTATAAGCAAATTTTCTTCAATTATTTCCTTTTGATTCTCTGGAACTTTTTTTTTCTTTTGATCGTTTTTAACGATTGTTTTTTGAATAAAATGCATTTTTTAAGGCAGTTTGATGGATTGGAAATGATTCAATAGTGACTTAACATAAATTTTTGGCTGTTCGACTTAGGGGCCATTCACTTATTACGTAACGCTTTAAGGGGGAGGGGGGTCTAAGATTTTGTTACGATTCAAACAAGGAAATTTTTTTTTCATACAAATTTTGTTACGAGGGGGGGGGGGTCTAAGAAGTCATTTTTTCGCGTTACGTAATAAGTGAACAGCCCCTTACTGGATCTTGAGTTTAATCATTTTAACTTAAAATGGATAGTTTTAGATGGCTTTAGGATATTGGTCTTGGGGAGTTCCACACAAAATAATTCCTAGCACAGCCAAATTAGACAAAAGTAAGTAAATTTCATCAGTTTGTTGATGTAGCGCCGACAAAAAATTAGAGTCCAAAAAAGTATTCAAACCAGTTTGGTAGCTTCATCTTTGCACAAATTTCGGCTAAAAATTTGAATTCAAAAGAAATGAAACAAATAAGAAGTGAAGTGAAGAGCAGAAAAATAACACAAAAATTGAGCAAAGCCACAAAATGAAGCATCATTATTAAAATGAAACAATTTTTTTTCGTTTTAAAGCTGTTAAGAACTTTCTTTGTTGCATTTGATCGGAGCGCATGAAAACCAAATAAGTGAAGAAGTAACAAAAATATGTGAAATTAATTTCTTTTCACCAGAAATATTAAATTGGTTTTTTTTTCTTCTCTGTTCTTTGATCGCATTGAATTTCCTCTGAATTGCATGCAAAAAAAAAAAAACAAATCTCATCGTTTATTGAATGTTATGAGATGCCTTTAACCCATCATGTTGGAGAATGCACTTTGAGATCAGAAGCAGTAACAGCAAATTCAAAAGTATTGAGATAAGTACGCAATAAAAATATATTAAAAGGTAATAATTGCTTATGCATAAGATCATGTCAGGAATGCAATAGCGATGAATAGTTTGAACAACTCTTTATAGCTGAATCGCGAAAATTTTATAGAAAATAATGACTGATTCAAGCTTCTTCACTTTAAGTATCTTCATGCACATGGGAAACATGTGCGATACTCGATCGAGTCAATAATTCTGTTGAAGAATTGAAGCGCATTTGTGGCTGATCTTATTATTAGTAAAAAAGCTTGAATCTATATTATTGAAATTCCATGTTCACAACCATTGCATTTCTTAATGCTTTCTCATCTCCAAGCATCCAGCCAAAGAAACAATTTAGCGCTTGAAATTCAGAGTAAAAGTTTTGTGGTAAAAACCAGGAATAAACTCAACATTTTATGATGATTTTAAAGAAGGCATTACCGATAATGATTTGATTGTTGTTGTAGCTGCAGCATCTTCTTTGCTAATTTTTTTAAAGCAAAATTTTATAATTTTGAACTCCAGCAGCTGAAAGATACACAACACAATCCAAAGCATTCGGAATTGGTGAAGGCAAAGCAACAAGATGAAGAATACAAAAAAAAAAAATCTCATTAAAATCGGCATTCGTAATGATGGGGTTCATAACATTCAACTAGGTGTACGCGATCGATGGAAGATCATGCAATATGAGCGAATAGTAAGGATAAAGTAAATGAATGAGGAACAAAGAAAGAGAGTGCGCGATTGGATTTTGTGGCTCATTGGTTTTGTAAGTAACAATTTCGAATATCCATTAAAATTAATATTTTATTGACCTTATCATTTTTTTTTTGTTTTTTGGAGGTTGCAAGTATTCTTCTTGCTCTTCGGCTCGATTTTGTTCTGGTTGGAAATTCAGAAAGTTAACAGATGAAGAAGAAAAATAACATTTTAATAATATTTCACCCGAAATTAAACTCAATACTTATTCCTCATTCCACATTTCTTTTCTGATGCAACTTTAAAAGGAAATGCTGCAGTACATAAAGCTTGTCGAGTTGGCTTTATAATCAGCTAAGAGATTTGTTGCTATTTTGTCAAAGGTTGATATATTCGAAAATGAAAGCAACCTTTGATTTTAATATGAAAAAATAGTTTTTGCTTTTTTTGAAGCAACGACTGATCCTGGCATGTCCAAAATGAAGTTGCTTCTTCCTTTGGGTAACACTGATCGATTGATTAACATCCAGCGTACCTCCTAAGTTTTGCTTTCGAGTTATCGTGTTCTTCAAATTCACAATTTCAAATTAAGTTCTGTAAAGTACATAATGCGAATTTTCAGTTGCAGACAAGCTTTCTCTTCCTTAAAAATTCGAAAAATATTAATCAAATATTGCTAAATTACAAGAACCTCAACAAATTTGAACACTCGACGTCCAAAACTCGAAAATGCGCTCAAAATACCCAAAAAATCACAAACTTTTCATGCATTTCTTCTTTTGCTTTCCTTCTTATCACATTTGCCAGAATCTTTCTCGAGTGGATTGAAATGAGAGAGGACATGAAACATAAAATAATACAAAAAAAATGTAATCATAACTTTTCGAACATAAAAAACATATTTTGTGTATTTCCCTTTTGCTTTAAGAAATTTAATGAAAACGAGATGCGGTTGTTTGTTATTTCGATACCGCAAAAAAGATGAAATATGTGTGTAATGTTTGTAAGAACAGAGAAAGAAGAAATAAAGTTTTTTTTTTCGTTCACCAGAAAGTTCAACATTCATGTGAAATTTCAATAGAAATTATTCAGTGGCGCTGGTCGGATTACAATGGTTCTTTTCCATCCGTCTTTTATGTGCATGCGGCTAAAATTAATTTATGGCAATTCTTTTCTGTCTGTATGATGTGTTGAAAATTAACTTTGTTTGGTTAATGACAAGAATTAAGTCCTTAAATTAATTTAGCTGAAGAATTGATGATTTTTCATGCTCATAAGATCAAATTCCAAGTAACTCTACATGACCTCAAATTAGCATATCTTTCGTATTTCCATAAAAAAAATTCTAGTTAAACTTGAATCTTCAGTCATAAAAGATTTTGTAATTAAGCAGGAACCACTCATAAAATTTCCATAATTAGACCTTGTTCTTGTTAAAGACATAAGAAAGGAATCATCAATTGGAACAACAGGAAGAAAAGAAATGTATATCAAGATGTAAAAGTTAAAATTATTGTGATTATCGGGCATCATCAACTTGTTGCGTTACATTTCATTCGTTATATCCAAACGCACATACACAATCACATTCTGTATTCTACCTGACCTTCTAATGATACAAAGAGAGAGAAAAAACCTGCACATGCAATGAATTGCATGCTATATATGAGTGAGTGAATGAAATGCAGCAGTCAATCTATCCATCCATCCATTTATTCTGTCACACGTACAACACACACACACACAAATAAACATGTATAGCCGTATGAGATGTCCAATGGAAACATTAAAATTGAGAGCAGAAAGACAAGAAATTGAGTTTCGTTTCGTGATGTTTAATTGAAGTCTTTTGAGTTCTTGTGCCTTGATTTACCTCTGACATTTCCTTTTTCATTGATTTAATTCACTTAAATTTCTATAATTCATCATTTTATTTCTCCTTAGAGCTTATTTTTCACAAAACTCTCGTCACATTTTGGACACAAAACATGTTTTAAGAAATTCATAAATTCCTTTAAGAAATTTTTTCACAATCAATTTTTCTTCTTATTTTCCTTAATAATTTTTTAATTTCAATTTTCGTCCAACTTTCACTTAATCTAATTAAATTTTCTCACTATAATCACTTTTATTACAGCTTAATGTACACGATTTAATTATTTTATGGCATTAAAAACTTAATAAAATATCAAAATTGAATTAATTTTAAGCGATCGACTCGACAAGCGTACCGCATTGCTTGAAGGCTAAATTCACTCTCCTTCACATTTCTTCATTACACCTTCTTTCGTCTTACATTCGATATTCCAATGAGCAGGTCCACGTCTTTTGTGCCATTATTCGAACATCAGTTGCACAATTGGAATCAACTTTTAACATTTGAGCATTTTATCGGAATGTTTCGGAGATTTTGTGAGATAAAATAGGAATTAACTTTGATTATCCATCAAATAGGAAGTGATCTTAGAGATGACAAGACTTATAAAATTAATTTTTGAAATTATCGAAAATCTCATCAAGTGTTTAATGATCAAGTTGGATCTAACCTTACGAAGAATATTTTCAAACATACATTCGTTACTTTTCTTAAGTTTTAGATCTTAATGCTGAACTTATAATGTAATTTCTTCTTGGTTTGTTCATACAAAGATTTCGAATATCTATAAATCTATCGATTACTGATTCTCGAAGCTTCCATTTCACAATTTAAATCTATTTTATGTTCAATATTAAAAATGCAACCATTGCTATTAATACTTGATTCTTACAAAGAGCACTCAGCATTGATAATGGAAGTTGACTATATTTGGCATTGTTCTAGAAGAGGAGCATCCATCAATTCTTAAGCAGTTCAAGATTTTAAATTAAGAATCAAAGAAAACTTTAATAGCAGTAAACTTGTGCAGAATTTTTCACGATTGCAATTACAAACTTTTTTCTTGTTGAACAATTCAGACGCAATTTGATAACACGTTTAAGCAAAAAATGACATTTCAAGCAGAAGCTCAAAGCATCAACGACTCAACAGTTCAAAAGCTGATGACAATTGTTGAAAATCACAATCGGAATTATCGTGATGAAGAAATTATGGCACTTCGTGAAGAAATAAGCAAAATACAGAATGAAATAAAGACGATTGAAGAACTTTACAAAGTCAAAGAGAACTTGAATCAAAAATTGACGAGTAGTTTTCTTGAAATTCGACTTCATTGCAAAATCCATGTTGAAACCACAGAACATCAAGTGAGACGAATGAAGCATCCAGCAGGCGAAATAGCTGCACAACTTCATCAAACAAAGGTGTTTTTCCGACATGCTAGTGAACAATGGAAGAAAAAGGAACACAGATACATTCGTGATATTGAGAAAATGAATAATTACATCCATGGCATGCATTCGACATTGGAACGAAATGGAATTTTCGGTGGTCAGCAGATTGAAGGATCCGACGAATATGAATCAGAAGTGGAATCAAGTGGATCTCCTTATAGGTCAAATCATTATGATTCTGATCCACAGTATGATGGTGATTGTGATGACTATGACGAATCATTTCAAGAGGCAGCTCAAGATCAACAAAATATTGAGTCATCCTTACAAGACAATCGAAATTACGAGTCTATTCGAGATGCTGATGAAGCTGTGGAAATTGATTGTGTGACATCGAATGTTCAATGTTCTGGATTGGTTCAAGCTAGTCAACGTTCTGAAGAACCTGTTGAATCCTTTGCTGAACCAATGGCTTCTGACAAGCTGATTTCATCAGATATATTAGCACAAGACAAAGCGTCACAAGAACCGAATTGGTGCGACATAATTGAGGCTGAAGATTCTGGATTTAATCAGCAAAGCTCATCGATTGAATTGGTCCATTTTGATTCTTCAGCAAGTGACTCAACTTGCTATAATGTGGTTGTAAAGTGTCAAGAAGCTTCATCGACTTCAAATTCCCAAACCGGAGATAAGGAATTTGAAGCTGATAAACCAATTGAACCTGAAGTTCCCATGAAAATTAATATGGATCCATTCGTTCATGGCTACGTTGAAAAGAAGTGTGAAGAATCAAAGCTCAAATCTAAGCCAAAGAAGCAACGAAAGCAGAAGCCTAAATCAAAACCAAAGTTCAAAAATCTTGTAGCTTTCGGTGGCTTCTAAATGGTAAGTTGAAAATTTTATAATTGCTGACTTGATTCCTTGATTCAAACTGAGATTTTGTTTTCATTTCAGTTCTTGTTTGAACATTTACTTTTCAATTCTGATGGATCTTTGGGATTATTATTATACTTAGGGGCCATTCACTTATTACGTAACGCTTTTAGGGGGAGGGGGGGGTCTAAGATTTTGTTACGATTCAAACAAGGAAATTTTTTTTCATACAAATTTTGTTACGAGGGGGGGGGGGGTCTAAGAAGTCATTTTTTCGCGTTACGTAATAAGTGAACAGCCCCTTATCTTGTTATCAATTTTGATTACTGCGCATTTATTTTGAGAATTATTAATGGCCCGTTCATAGCCAATTGCGCTATTTCATTTATCATGTCATATTTATGAGAATTATCAATACTGTTAATACTTATTTAATAAAACCCAAAAAAATAAATAAAATTCGATAAAGCCAATCTTGATATTTAAATGCAATACAACAAAAAATGATCAAACTCTAGGAATTATGTTATTGAACAATAAGTTTATTATCTTTATTGCGATTGTTGATCACTTATTAATTTGGAATGTAAACAATTTTCTCTTGGGTTTCAAGTTTTGTCATTCATTAGACCTTGAAATAAAGTTTGCCATAATATAGTTTTTCGATTTTTCTTCAGTTTAGTTCCTTTAATGTTTACAATCGGATAATTTCTGAGAACAAGTCAACCAATTCTGTTTGATCGACATCCTTATCATTTGGTATGACTGGTTCTTCAAACTTTGCTTCCGATTTTTGCTTTTTGACTTGAATATTTGCAATATTTGCAGATGCAGCAATAGTTTCATCTTCATCATCCTCTTCAGGTTCATCCAAAACGTTCAATGAATACATTTTTTGGAAGTAAACACCATCAAATTGTAAGTCGGAGCACAAGTATTTCATTCCAATACATGACAGGCATGAATTTAAAATAAGGTACATTTTAGAGTACAGGAATGTAATACGCAAAGCTCTGCTATTGACTCTCTTTGGATAGTCTGTTGAAAATTCAAGTGGAACGGCTTGTGTTCGAGTATCAACAATCGTTTTAAGGACACAGCGTGCATCTAAGATTGTCAAAGAGTTCTTCTTTACCAAATACATTAAAATCATACAGTCAACTGTAAAATCTTCTGTCATGCATGGAATTTTAAGATCACTTAATTGTAAATCCATTATCCAAAACAGCATCTTCATTTTTTGCAACGTTGATATGTTTCCATTCAACATATCATTAAGTGATGGAACTTCAAAGTCAGGATAAATAATTTCAAGTGGATATTTATGGAATTTCTGGTCTTGACTATCCAGCATAACAACTTCACGAGTTTCGCGATCAGATAAATTTTTCAATAATATTCCAGCAGTCTTTTGAACCAATGGCAAGACCAATAAGTTGAAATTTTCCATGTCTGGTGAGTTTAGATCCATAAATACTGGTGAAAAGAATATTGGCTTATGATTAAACAAAATTTCTTCAGCAAAGCTCATAAAATCATTTTTGATAATCTTCAAAGTATCGTCATCAAGATCTGCAATTTTTGGCATGATTGATTCTATTGGATCAATTGTATGCTTTTCAAACGACTTTTTCATATCATCAATGAAGCTTGGTGGATAATTATCTCCGAGAATTCTTGTTGCCATTTTAATATACGAATCTTCAGTCAATGGAAATTGAACATCTCGAACGAATCTAGCAACTGTCTTAAACTTGCTAATCGATCCAAAATTATAAGTTACCTTTCTCTTTATATCTGGCTCACATTCAATCTCAGCGAATGTAAAAAACAACGGTGCATGATGATAATTGATTTGAAAATACTCCAAAATTGCTTCCTTATTAATTTCAAGAACTGTCATTTTCTCCATATTTAACTTTTCGTCTGACCAAATCTTCCAATCGCCAGGAAGTAGAAACTTGAATGTATTCAAGCCAAGAATCCAACTACACTTTTCCTTTGTTGCAAATTGAGCCATTTCAAAGGATGGTGGATGTTTAATTGAATCGAATCCATAAACGTTTCCATGATTCTTAGCTGTTTGGATTAAGCACAATTTAACCATGACATTAAACGGATAGTCATTTAAATTTTTGTTCTCCAATAGCTCATCAAGCTCTTGTATAGTCTGGATGTTGTCAAGTAATTTAAGTGCAGCTTTATATTCATCAGAACGGCGTATCAAAAACTCTCCATTGTTTGCATTTACCTGCAAAGCATTTTTTATTCATATTAATTAGAGTAAATAACAAAAAATAGCAACTCTAACCTTTTGAAATGCAAAGATAAGTTCAGCTCCACAGTCCTTTAATTCCTGGAAGAACTGATCTGCAGTGTACTTAATTTTGTTAAGTTGATAGCCACATAGCAATTCCTTATTGTTTATCTTGAAATGGTAGCTTAATGTGTGCAAATCAATCAGTATCTTTGGTCGTTCACTGGAAGTTTAAGTTTTGATTTCATGAATTTTTATAAAAGTAAATTTTCTTAAAACTTACGCATTGGCGTTAAGAATCTCTTCTGTAATATTAACAATCTTGTGAGAATCTTTGATATTATGCAATGTAAAGCCGTAGAATCCTTTAATTCCCATTTTAATTACACTTTTAAATCTACAAATTTTAGTCCACGTTTTCAAAACAGATACAACTTCACGTCATACTGAATAGGAAATTTAACGTATTATCAAGATTTGAATTTTTTTAAAAAGCTCTTTTTAGTCCAACGCTTAATTAATCTATTTAAACTCTATGCTATTCTTATAAGAATTCACTATGCCACTCATTCACATTGCTCCTCATTCATAGCTCATTTGATACTTAAAGTCAACTGACAAATAAGATTCAAAAAAGTTGAAGAAAATGTTGAACCCTGTTTGAAAGTTGACGTCCCCTAAAAGAAAAATTATCTAACATAATTTATTAATTTTTCTACTTAATTCCTTAATTAAATCGGGTTTTAGTAGAATGGCGTCATTATTGAGGAGCATCTCATTAGGTTTACGCAGTGGTCTAGCCCAAAATAGTGGTAAGTAGTGATAAATTGTGCAAAATAATTAAATCTAATTTTATTTTTGTTGTTGAAAGGAATTTTGTCATCTGCCAGACGTTTAAAGCATTCGGAACCAGCCGTTGTTGAGGAAACTAGACGTAAGGAACACATCATTCAGTAATTTATTAATAGTTCTAATGTATTAAATTAATTTTAGCTACTGTTCGTAAACCAAATACCGTTCAACGAGCTCATTTTATTGATTTTGGAAGATATGTTGCCGAATGTCTACCAAAGTATGTCCAAAAAGTTCAGTTGACAGCTGGAGAAGAACTAGAAATTTTAATCGCACCCGAAGGAGTTTTGCCAGTGCTTCAATTCTTGAAAGATCATCATCAAGCACAATTTTCAAATCTTGTAGACATAGCTGGAATGGATATACCATCCCGTGAATATCGCTTTGAAATCATTTACAATATTCTCTCAGTTCGTTTCAATTCAAGAATTCGTGTAAAGACCTACACAGACGAACTCTCGCCAATTGATTCATGTAATGAGATCTTTAAGGCAGCAAACTGGTATGAACGTGAAATTTGGGATATGTACGGAGTCTTCTTTGCAAATCATCCCGATTTGAGACGCATCTTAACTGATTATGGATTTGAAGGACATCCACAGCGTCGCGACTTCCCACTCTCTGGATATGTTGAAGTAAGTTCCTTATTAAAATATTTTTCATAGCATTTAATTACATTCTTATTACTTTTGCAGCTTCGATATGATGACGAGAAGAAACGTGTTGTATGTGAGCCACTTGAATTAGCCCAAGAGTTCCGTAAATTTGATTTATCAGCTCCATGGGAGCAATTCCCAACTTTCCGCAATGCTAATCCAGCAACAGAAGTAATTGAAACCAAACAAGCTGAACAGAAATAAATCAAAATTATCAGCAGTGCTAGAAAAATATATTTCGGAAGAATAATAAATTGTTAATAAGAGGAAAAACATGTCAGAACTCTGATGAAGAAATCTAAAATAAAATATGTGTAAAAAAGAAATTTTTTAAAGCTTGATACGAATTTCTAGGAATCCAATTTAAGTTGTTCAAGAACTTCTTGTTTGGATCAAAGGAACAAAACAGTGAGCAGGTCATGATTTTAAATTTATTATACACATTTTAAACTTCTAATTTAACTTTCCAAAAAGAACATTCCAGCTTGATCAGCAAATAAACTACCCAAAAATATGTCATGCTAAACCAGTCGTATTATACAATATTCTAGAGAATCACACCCATTTCCTTACAAACAAAAAGTCAACAAGAAGTGAAAATATTAACCAAGATCAAGAGCTAAAATTCTCTTAAAAGGCTTTAGACCAGTTTTTGGGAACCTGTCCAATTATATAAATTCTGGAATTGGCCATATATTAACAGCAATGATTAGATTAAGGATTTTTGACTGCTCTAAATTAATATGCATATGAAAGAAAATCACCCAAAATGGCTCCATTATCATTAGTATAATTTTTGTGCCTTTATTGGCCATTCTATTGCGTTGTGGTCAGTTCTGCTTAGCAAAAAAAAAATCGAGAAATTTTGTGATCATCAAAAAGACATCAATGGAAATGCTAATCGAGTCTTAAGTTCTTCTTCTAATAATAGTGCCATAATTTACTAAATCAATGACTTCATCTTTATTATCTCACGTATTTCTGCTAGTTTTGAATATTGTTTGTCCACAGAACTTTTTGGAATCAATTTTTGTTATTGAGTAATTAGTTCCAATTATGACATATTAAGTGATTTATGCAGTTTTATGCTATGAACAAGTGTTAATGTAAATATTGACGTGCACTTGAAAAACCTGACTTGGAAATATCAACATAAGGCAGTTCTGAAATTATATGCACACATGTGCTGCATTATTGTGACTAATTATCAACTACCTACTTAATCAACAAAACATTTTAATAAATTTTCCGACGTCTATGACGAATTGAGCGCATTTGAGAATGCATTGATGTTGTGGAGTTTTATAAGTTGTTGCCAAAACTCCTGAAAAGTTGACGAACGGTGCCTCAGAATGTCATAAAAGTATGCGGAACTGATGAATCTTGTTTTGATCAACTTAGGGCCTCCATCTTGGGTTTTATGCCAATTTTTGATTCAGATCTGCGTAGTCAGACACTTCTTAATAGAATAAATATCTATTACAAGCGAAAAATTAGATCAATTGTTTATTGTCACTTAAATCTGTTAGCAACACGAATAGACATTAACATCATGTGCTTAAAATAAACTGGCATGTGTACGAATCATAGACAACTGCACATTTCCCAACAAATTGTGTTAAAAATTAATTTATTAAGAATTCTAGATATTTTTGCATGATCAGCGAATACCTTAATGTTCAATAAAGTATCTAATAATTCTACATTCTGAGCAAGTATAAATAAATCCACAAGCAACTCCGATCACTTTGATTTAAATAATAGAATCGTAAAGATAGTCGGGCTGGGAAAACGTATTATTTTATTAAGTCAAAGTAAGTTGTTCAGAGCATAATCAAACTCACACAGACATCAAATGAAAAATTCTCCACTTTAGTTGATTCTCCATTATCATACATGAGCATACACATGAGTAAAAAATTCTCGCCTTCTCTCAAACGCATGCAGTTAATTTTTTATTTACTTTTTTTTCCATCCAATTCTCTGATTTTTGAAATGCTTTAAAAGGAATGGACATCTAACGAGAAGAACTCAGTCGTACAATTTCTGTTCAACAAGCTGCAGTGAAGTTTTGGATATATTGTGGAAAAGTGATTTAAATTCAAGCAAATAAGCATCAATTGAAGATAACAATAAGAAGAACTTAAATAAATCACCTGATAATTTAAAATAAAAGACTTTGTGAACTTAAAAAATTGTCTTAAGGAACTGAAAAATGTCGTGCGAAATTATCGTGAAAAATGGAAATGGTGAAAATTACTCGAATGGAAATGGAAAAATTAAAGATGACAAACCAAACTTCTTCAATGAGATGAACTCATCGCCTCCAAGAACGTCATCTCCATGCTTCTCTTATTTTGGAGAAAAGTGAGTAAATAGTCAACTTTATGCCATAATCTTGCTAATCATTCACGTGTTGTTATGACCAATTGGCAATTGCCTCGCTTTTAAAATATTTGAACAATTTATAAAATAAGACATTTTAAGGAGGGAGATTCTGATTTATAAAAAAATAAAATTTGTAGTTCCAAAAACTTGTTTGAGGTATTTTCTATAATTTGCAATAAAAAAACACCCACCAAAAGAATTTTTTGCGACAAAAACATTGAAATTTCTCGAGAAAATCATTTAAATGTTAATCGATTGAATATTTTATTCAGTCAAGTCCAAAATTATATTCTCGATTTTTTTTAAACCGCTAATCAATAAAAATAATATTTTTTACAGCTTTACTTTTGAAATTATTGAGGATATCAAGAAATATTTATTTGAGAGGACGAAAATTCGACCAAAAATTGGAATCATCTGTGGAACTGGACTTGGACATCTTGCTGAGAATTTAACTAATGTTGATAGCTTTCCTTATGAAGATATTCCGAACTTTCCAATCTCGACAGTTTCTGGTCATGCTGGAAAAATGGTTTTTGGATACTTAAATAATGTTGAAGTCATGTGCATGCAAGGAAGATTCCATTATTACGAAGGATATCCATTAAGTAAATGCTCAATGCCAGTAAGGGTTATGAAAATTTGTGGATGTACTCATTTGATAGCGACAAATGCTGCTGGTGGTCTTAATCCTTCATATAAAGTTGGAGATATAATGATTGTCAAGGATCACATCAATATCATGGGTTTTGCAGGAAATTCACCACTTCAAGGTCCAAATGATCCAAGGTAAATAGATAATTTAATTTACTTCCACAGTTGTTTTATTGCTTTGTTTATTGTTTGATAAGATTCGGTCCACGTTTCCCACCTATGGATAGAGCATATGATCCTCATATTGTGAAAATTGCAAAAGAAGTCGCCAAAGAAATGAACATGGGGAATGAAATTCAAACTGGTGTATATACTTGCGTAGGAGGTCCAAATTACGAAACCGTTGCAGAATTAAAAATGCTTAAATTATTTGGCGTTGATGCTGTTGGAATGTCAACAGTAAGTTATCTTTTGTTCTAAAACTTTTATTATTATTTGCTCAAGATTAAGCTACAAGGTTGTGGAAGAAATTTATATCTATTTTTCTTTTGTCTCGTCTCAAGGTCCATGAAGTAATAACAGCACGTCACTGCGATATGAAAGTATTTGCATTCTCCCTCATTACCAACATGTGTTACACAGATTATGATGATAATGAAGAAGCTAATCATGATGAGGTTGTCAATATAGGACTAAAACGTCAAGACAGGATTACAGAATTTGTTACTAAAGTTGTGACGGAAATTAATCTCGATTTGAATAAGAAGCATTAAATAATTAAAAGTATCCAAACAATTCCGAAGTACCAGTTCCAATGTATTTTGTTTTATTATATTATTGTGTCATGTTGATACTGACGCAAAGCAGTATAAATATATTAAGTGTATAAACATAAGTAAAATGCGTAAATAAAATAATAAATCTAATAAATCATAAAACTAAGATTTTCTAGAAATGCCTACAACCATAAGAAAATTCATTACAGAAGACACACATCTAATTGATAACATCAATGACCTTTTTAAAATATTTTTTTCTTCTTTAGAACAGCACGAATGAATTGAAAAAGGGTGCATTTATCTCGTGAGAAACTTATTTACTTGAAACATGAAACGTGCTATTCTGCTGTTGTGCATACAGTTTGAACTAATTTGTTATTTCTTTTGAATCATATGTTGATGTTGCTTATTTTTTTTAAACAATAAAGTTTATGTATTAACTTGAATGTTCTGTAATTCTGAAAATGATTCATACTTGGAAATTTTTCATTGACCAAACAGCAACAAGCACTTTAATTACACCATAATGTCATATGTTTATTGATAGGCTGTCCAATTGTGGCATTTTTTGGAGGAATTGTCTTTTAAAGCGAAAAAATCTAAAATCTCAATTAGAATTAAACTCAAATCTAATTAATTGAAACATTTTGCTGCATTTTGCACTTTTCGGATAAAAGTTGATAAAAAGCTTATTTATAGTCAACAATCCATTGTAATAGTAATTTGAGATTACTGATTTGACAGATATTTATCGAACAATAAACTTTTGAAGCTCTAGACATATCAGTCGGAATTAGAATAAACTCTTTATTATTTCAAAGGAGCTTAATCATCTCTATTTGAGCTTTTCTTGTTTAAAAAAGTGAATTATGATTTAATTTAATTAAAGTTAAATAAAAAAATTATATGGAGCAATATATTTCTCAAGACTACCAAGAGAAAACATTTTATTGCATTTATCATTATTACTTACGATGCAAATATAATAAAACTTGGTTTAAACAGCCGAAGTTCTAGCCTTGATCATCATTCTTTTTAGTATTAAGTTAAAAGAATCAATTAAAAATTTAAGATTTTACAAATTTATCTAATTTTTATATTAAGGAGATTTTTAAGCTTTTAAATGATTTAAAGTTAAGTTTTTTTTTTTCATTGAAGAGTTTAATATTTCATTACCAAAACTTTAGAGTTTAAATTATGTTAAAGTTGAAATTAATAACAATATAGTCAGTAAACCGAAGACCTTTTGTAATGAAAAGGATGCTAGAGTCCTGAATATCTCGAACTTGTAGAAGATATCCAAGGATAGAGCTGTCTTTAGACGTTTTCTAAGCGCAGCAATGGGCCCACGTGCGCCTCACTCAAGCATGTAAGTAAGTATAGTCAAGAAATAAAAACCAAAAGCATGCTTTTCACGTGAATAAGATCGCTTAGTAAATATATTATTGATCTCGAGACAACTTTATTGATGTATTGAACGACAAAAACAAATAATTATTCTAAAGATCAGTCAGTCTATAACTTGAGAATAAGCTGAGTTTGTGGAATTCATTTGTGATAAGAGTCGGTGTTTAGCTATGCTTGTTTTTAATTATTCGCGTGTGCCACAAAATATTGAACATGGCTTATCAAAAAATTCTAGAAATTAAGAAGCAAAAATATAAAATCGATTATAACAAAAAGTGCACATTATAGCGTTATAAAATATTTCTAGGTATTATATGTGATAAATAATGCTAATGTTGGTTATGATTCAACAAATTTTCTTTAAAGATTTTTCAAAATTAACATTTGATTATTTGTTATTTTAATTTCGAAAAATCTTTAAGAACATTTATTGAAGCTAAAGCAAGTAAGTTAAGTTTTAAATAAAATGCAAACAAATTTTCTGATGCAATCCTTGAAAACAATTTCCGTAGCATCAATTATTAATGATTTATTGACTTTTCTAGAAAACAAATCACAAGTTCTAATATCAATCAACGATAGTATTAAATTTCCCAAGCCTAAACATATACTCGTTAGAAGTCAAAGGTGGCGCTCACATCAAATAAATAAGAAACTACATAATTGATAATAAGACTGCTGTTATTGTCACTAAATGATCATTAAAAGTAGATTAAGTACTAATGAGTGATAATTTTCAAAATAATCAAGCTTTCTTCTACTTTCCTCCAATAATAATCAAGAGAGAAGCTTAATACTTGTTTACGAGCATAAATGCGAATTCCTTATTTTCATTCACACATTGAGAGTTCCATATGATAATACGTCATAAATTGAGAGGTCAATCTGTGTGTACACAGTCTTATTTTTCTTACATTCTTATGTATTGAGGAGGGATCGTCATCAATAAAACGCGTTATCATCATCGTTTCGCTGTCTCATAGCAAAATGAAGCCTTTAAAATAACAAGAGCTTCTCATTAAACACTCAGTTTGCAACAAACATTTGGCGTGATCGGAACTTAATAAAAGTTTCAATAAAATAAAAAAATAATAAAATAAATAAAGCTGTGAGAAAGTTTTTGTGCAAATAGTTCTCAAATAAGTCAATAGAAGATGCCTGAAGAAACGAAAGTATTCCTTGAAACACCTGCAATTCCAATTTCGGGAAAGAAGCAAGCTAATTCTTTCTCAGCTTCAAGTGATTCACCAAGAACTTCATCGCCGACCTTGGGAGAACAGTAAGTTTCCGTTTGAAGTCACAAACTGATAACTGAGATTAATGTTTTCGGCACAAGCCAATTATTTCCTTCATTATAAGCCTCGCGTGATAATTTGATGGAATTTTACAGTTGCGATGTGCAGTGATTTTTATTTTCAAGGCAGCTTTATCAAGATTCATTGAATATTTTCGAGACCCTAGTGACCAACATATTGACTGTCTTTAATTTATTTTGACGAAATATTTTTTATATGATTTATTGGAGCGAAAAATAAAGTCGTGCGACTGTCTCGATGATTATTTTTGATTTTTGAGTGTCAATGCACAATCAGCAAGCTAAATATAGAAAATGAATTATGTGCGTTAAATTTTGTGGTATCACCGAAGAGGTTATCATAATTTTAGAGCTTAGTCTCTTAGTAAGCAGGTGCAGAATATGACAAAAACTCATGATAGGATGAAAAGATACTTAATTATCTAGAAAAAATCTTTACTCAATCAGACACATTAATTACGTAAGCACATCGAAAGTGCATAAAACGGAGCAATAAACAATCATGACAAACAAAAAATATTATTAATAGCAAATCAATGTTATTATTATTTCCTATAGAGTTGTTTAGCAACACGCGAATCGATGATTGATCACTGATCAAAATAAAATTATTGTGGGGTAGAAATCGCCTGACGAGTCATGATCTCCTACGAAGCAGACTTAACTTAATCAGAAGTTTTTTTTCCTATTATCGCAATTATTTGTCTTATCAAGTTCATAAACTAGCGAAACATCCACGTTATTTAGTCAAATTGTCGTACAATTTTATCAGTTTTACTTTATTTAACAAGAATAAAATGAAATAAAATATTTTTCAAACTTTATAGCTACTCATATGATACAATTGAAGAGATCTCGAATTACCTTCTAAGCCGAACTCACATTCGACCAAAAATTGGAATCATTTGTGGTTCTGGATTAGGACATTTGGGTGAAACTTTGTCTGATGCTACCTATTTCCCATACGAAGATATTCCACATTTCCCACTTTCAACAGTTGTTGGTCATGCTGGTCGTATGGTTCTTGGAACATTAAATGGTGTTGAAGTTATGGTAATGCAAGGAAGATTCCACTTTTATGAAGGATATCCATTAACAAAATGTTCGATGCCTGTTAGAGTAATGAAAGTTTGTGGATGCACTCATTTAATAACTACAAATGCTGCTGGTGGACTTCATGATTCGTATCAAATTGGCGATATAATGATTGTCAAGGATCATATCAATATTATGGGATTTGCAGGCAATAATCCACTTCAAGGTCCAAATGATCCAAGATTTGGACCACGTTTTCCACCAATGAATCGTGCCTATGATCCAGAACTAATTAAAATAGCTGAAAATTTGGCAAATGATATGGGAATCAAAGATGAAACTCACACCGGAGTCTACATTTGTTTAGGCGGTCCAAGTTACGAAACTGTTTCAGAGCTGAGAATGTGGAGAATGCTAGGAGTCGATGCCGTTGGAATGTCAACAGTAAGTGCTTCATTGCTACAATTATATTTAATTATCCAATTATTTAAACAAATCAAATTAAATATTTATTATAATAAACAGGTCCATGAAGTAATTACAGCTCGTCATTGTGATCTTAAAGTGTTTGCATTCTCGCTTATAACAAATAAATGTATAACAGATTATGATTCAAATGGGGAAGGTAAATATAATTAAATGTTTATGATTTAATCTTGTATGCTTAAATTTACAGCTTTAGCTTTATTCTTTTCTCAAGTATATTATTGAAAAACATCCGTGTCCCTTGATTATAAAAGTTCTGAGAAGATTTATTGCTATTAAAGAAGACTGTAGAAAGATAATTGATAGGCTTATTCTAAATTTATAGCTTTAGTATTCAAATATGATTTATTCCCAACATTCCTTCCATAAATAATCTTTGAACATTTAGAATCAAAAGAAACAACGCAATTATGATGGAAATTACGTTTCCGCAAAACTGTTTTCAAAACAGAAACTTTAACCTCCCCAAAAAGCAGCAAATCTAAAAATAATCAAACTGGCTTTCAAAGCTTATTTTAAATGTCTTGTTTTTGTTTCGTCTCTTTTCATTTAGCTAATCACGCAGAGGTGATTTCTGCCGGAGCTAAGCGTCAAGATGTCCTAGCAACTTTCGTAACACGAATGGTCGAGAAGATCAATGAAATGCTATAAACTAAAATGATAATGAATGGAACCATAAACGCATTTAATTAGCCTAAGTTTTATGTAAATATTTCATTGAGTACTTATGTTTTGTTATTGAATGGATCATACTAGTAATTATAAGAAGATGCTTCTGAAAATATGAAATAAAATGATTTCATTTAATGTGTCAGTAAATTGTTTATTTTATGAATGACTCGGGATTTTTTATTATTTTGTTCCACAGCTGAGTATTAATAAAAATATTTTGATTCCAGCAATTACGTCAGATTTATAATAACAACGAGTATTAAGCTCTGTCAAGCCAGCAAGGAATTATCATTTTGACAAACAAGTTATTATTTTTTTGGGGGCTCGTGTTGATTGTCATGTGCTAAAATACCAAGAAGAAATACTTAAAATAATCGAGGAATTGAATTTTTATATGCTTGCAATTGAGTTTTATAGACGTGAATTGTGCCAATTATTTTATTAATTAATTCGACATTTCAAAGTGGTTTTTATTGCAGCTGTTTAAATTACTGTGCATTCTTACATATTTTTGGCAAAGATCTAGTGTTTCTTAAGAATTTCTTATGTTAATTTTCAGAACCACCTGATGACTATAAATTCGACATGCTTTTCTGTGATTCAATATTATTATTATCGTAAAAAGTCATAGTTTATAGCCGAAATATTGAATTATTCAAAGCTTTTTTTGAGATTGTAAGAAGCCAAGCCTCTGAATTTATAATCAACAAAACTTGATGCTTCCATTCAAATTTTTCTTTGAGTAAATAAAGCATATGCTGATCATTTTAGGGATAATCACAAATGACGACGGTTTATGAGGCTTTTTTTAATGATTTGTGAATTTTAAAAGTTTGAAGGTTTCACAATTCACTAGCACCCCCCCCCCCCCCCTTTTTTTCTCACAGCTCAAGGGTGATATTTAGGAAACTTTGTTGAAGCGAGATGGCAGGATAGAAGAAATTGAGTTTATATTTTTATACAAAAATTGTAGCCTAGGAACAGGGTTGCAATACAGGCACCTGTTCACAGCTGAGAACCGTACAATTCCTTGATAATTTGTAATATTTTTTAAATGACGTCACTTGTGAACGATCCCCGTTCAGTACCCTTTGATATTTATCAGAGATCGAAGCCGATTTTTTCGGCTTAACTCAATTTTTTATTTTTTTGATAGAAAAAAGCCATTTGACACCCATTTCAAGTATTTAAATTGAACTTTACATGCTTTACTATGATTCTGTGTAATATTTTGTCAGCATGTAGCTATAGTGAGCTCAGAATTTCAATTTAGCCGATTTTAAGCCGATCGGCTTAAATTTCGGCTTAACATTCTTTAACTTGAAATTCTGAGCTTCCTATAGCTACATGCTGACAAAATATTACACAGAATCATAGTAAAGCATATAAAGTTCAATTTAAATACTTGAAATGGGTGTCAAATGGCTTTTTTCTATCAAAAAAATCAAAAATTGAGTTAAGCCGAAAAAATCGGCTTCGATCTCTGATATTTATAAATGTAATTTGATACTTTTATTAGCTTATGAAATTGTTATCATTTTCTAATGCTAATGCCAGTTTATAATCAACACATGATAAAAATAGAAAAACTGCTAAATTCAAATCAGCTTTTGTTGTTAAGTGCTTTATGCTAATTTAAAGTTTAGCATTTAGTATATTTAATTAACAAGCTATTACATGATTTATTTACAATTTCCATTTTGTTTGCATTTCAATTATCATAGAAATTACGTAATATCTATGTTTTGACGTGTTTTTCAAATCAGCGATAGATTATTATCATTTGTTTGATTAGCAATAGAAACACGTTTTGAAACAATTTTTGTTGAGTATGACAAGGAACAGTGTGGTTGGTTCTCTCTTGAAAATTCTCTCTGAATGTTAAACGTCATAATTGAGCAGCCTTCAAACTTTGCCTACATACAGGAATCACCTTAATATGAGATGTCAAAAAATTAACTGTTCAGGGTTGTTCGCTAATTTTCATAAATTTATTGAGACACATGCTGACAATTTGAATAAAGCTATTCAAATGAGTAATCTATTAAAAATATATATATTTGGTGAATTAAAGCTACTTTAACAATGTGAAACGTTAAGATTGTTTCAAGTAGCTTAATCATCACTGTTAGCTATAATCATCTATTCTTTTTTAATCCACATAAAGACAACTGACTAATACTATAACAATATCTATAAAAAAATTGATCTAACCTTAATGGGTCTTTCACTAATTACATTCGCTTTAAGGAGTAAGGAGGGTCGCAAATAAGGGATTGTTTATAAATGATGTCCTATTTTAGAGAGGGAAGAGATCTGTCTGTGACAGAGAAGGAGTGTCTACAAAGCTGTTGTTGCTTAACGTAATAAGTGAACGATCCTTCATTGAATCATTTATTAATAATTGGCATGAAATTCACTAAAAGGTGCTAAAAAGCAGTCATTTAGTTCTGTGATATAAATAAGTCATCAAATTATAAGTAACGCCGGTGAAAACATAAGTACAGTAGTCATCGATATGTAGTTTCTTTTTTTCCACATTTCGGTCCGACTTTCTATGCAGTTTTCTATATGATTAAGCAGATAAGTACAGCAATCACGCTCACGATTGTAGAAATTCCATGCAACGAATAACTCGAATTGCACTCATCATTCGGACAAGCACAATAACGAGAAGATGATTGCGCTGTAAAAGATGCTCTGAAACATCCATCGTCTCGTTCTTTAATTGTATTGGGAATATATCCACACGATCGAGTAACTCGAACTATTTTTCCATTTGGTGTATCGACTAAAAAAATGTTTTCAAGTAAATTATCAGCTCAATGAAACTTTTTTCCTAAAATCAACCTGTCTGTCGTAATTTACGACACAAAATTGCCTCTCGAGTTCCTAAATCTGAGCATTCACTAAGCGTGTTTAGCGCATAAAATGGATCCCCACAAGCTGTGTTGTTTAAACTTGTGCATTGATAACACTTGATTGAGTCAACTCCTATAAACAGATTTATAATTGCCGGAAATTGAAATCAAATTTAGCAATAGAATTACTCACTTAATATGTTAAACGTCAAAAAAATTAGTGGCACCAAAAATTTATTCATCTTTAAGTAACGAAAATCCTAAAGAGTTATGTCGATAAGATAAATGAAGGAACTAAATTGATTTAAATTAGTTTGCGTTGCTCAATATGAAATGAATTGATAAAGTATGGAACTGAATGTGTATTGTAAAAAATATTAAGAGCATAGCAAGCCAATTAGAGGTTCTCACGCAATACATCTATACATTTTTAAGTTGTTTTTATTCAGGTACTTTGGATGTATGGCAGAGTTGCTCATTTTATCATTTCTTGTCTTATCAGTATTTACAGAATCGTCAGTATGAGCAAGCTTATATTAACTTTAAAGTATAGCAATTACCAAACTAAGTTAACAACCCTGCATGTACATTTCATAGCTTATAGATAAAGAAAAGTGATAATGACTGACATGAAAAGTGATAATGAATTTTACATTTTTTTACAAGTCGACTGCAGTTGCTCGAATAAATTTCTAAGCTTAACGTCACGGCCACTTCCACGCAATTGTTCAACTTTCTGAATCTGAGTCAATAAGTGGGGCAAAAAGTTGTTGACAATACTTAAGTTCACTTTTGTTAGTCTTGTCAAGTATCTGAGGGAAGTAAAGGGATTTTTCAATTACTTGACATGCACACAAACAAAAATAAAGGAAACTCTAAAATAATGACTCACCTAAAATACAGTCCTGAATGATATGACAAGCTCGATTCTGTTAAAGACTTCAAATTAGTCATAAGCAATTCCTTCATTGCATTTGAATTCGAAAAGTTTTTATTTCTGATAAATCTCTCAACTAGACTAAAAGCAGACTTGTTTGTAGGTTCAATATCGTCTAATAGCATAGCACATTCAACAATTTGTTGAAGTGAATTCTTCCAAACAGCAAGAAGCCTCGATTCTTCACCTTCAATCACATGCAGAACTTCTTCAAATACAGTAAGGATTAGGCAGCAATTTATGTTCGATTTACGTCCAGGCTGCAAGGCAATAAAATTTTTCGCCATTTTCATCCAAAACAATTCAATTATTTCAAAGTTTTTGAAGTTTGTAATACTGATGAATGGCTTAGCTACAAATTTTGAGTTATTGCTGATTTTCATAAGCGGTGCCCATTTAACAATCACATCATTAAGAACTTTAGTCACATGTTGATCACATTTATAATTCAATCTTGAAATTCCTTCGATTAATAATGGCCAAATTCTATGCATTGAAACTATTATTGCTCTTGGTGGATTTTGCCCAACCATAATAGTTGATGGAAGTATGAAATGAGCCACAGATACGTTAAAGAAGCATTGCGACTTTGATCGAACATAAATTAATTCCGAGCAATGAAGAAATGTAATGGCAATAAATGAATAAATTCTCATTATGGACTCATCAACTAAAACATTTGGTGCCGGCTTTTGAGATGTTGATTGCTGTTGCTGGAGATAAGGCAGTGACCATTTCTCAAAAGTTGACAAATATTCATGAATTTTTTCAATTAACTGGAACTTTTGTTGATTGCTGGATGTTGAATATTTTCTGCCAATATCGCCAATAAAGGAACAAAGTCGTTCCTTTGAATTTAAAAATTCCTCAGCTTTGATTGTCGATGTCTCACAGAGAAATTTAAATTCTTTCATACAAACTATTTGACCTGTTAATTCCTTTAAATCGCTATTGTTTCCACTGAGTAGAACTGAATACTTAATCCAACTTTGAATGATCAGAACTGCATCGAGTTTTTCTTTATTCTCACAATTCTTCAAAATTATCGTTAAGAATTTAATTCCTTGTTCCAAATTCGTTGAATTTGTTTCAACAAAAGTCTTAAATAAAGTGCTGAAATTAGGAATGCTTGAAGTTGAAGTTGTAAAGTTTGTCAAAAGGCATAAATTTGCAGACATTTCAGGGAGCCAGACTGACTCGATTTTTCCAAACACTTGCTTAATATAAGGCAGTAGAATATTGAATAATTTTTCCTTTAAGGCAGTCACTTTTGTCATCACAATTGGATTATTTTGTAGCTCATAAATCTTCTTAATGATTTTATTAAGCGACTCATAAAGTCGATCTTGCTCTGCAGGAGCTGAATTTTGGAAATATTTCACAATCCATGAATCTATCAATAAATCTTCTCCATTCTCCAAAATATCTTCATTTTCATCGAGATTCTTAAGTAAAATTAATGAGAGTGACTCTGACAAGATTTTTAAAATACTCGTAGCTGAATTTGTCTTTTGTAAAATGCTGTTAACTTGATTCATAATTTTAGTGAGGTAGTTGGAGATGTTCATCCGATTTTCAGTGAATAAAATTAGCATCACCATGTGAGCTTTCATAATTTGTACCTGATGATTAAGTTTTTCCATTGGAATCTGTAACATTGTGTCTGTGATTTTTTGTCCAACTTCATTAAGATTTGTCGAAATCGATAAACTTATTAATAATCTCATAAAGTTGTGAATTCCCATTTCATTCAATTGTTGGAGCTTATTTGGTGGAAATTTTGTGTAAATTCGTCCGAAAATTCTTAAAACTTGAACTTTTTGTCCATCGTCTGTGAATCTCTGAACCATTTTACTGAGGATATACACAAACATGTTGAAGCTAGATAGATTGAGATTCAATTTAGAAACTGCAATATTTTGTTGTCCTTTAATTTGCTCTAAATAAGCTGTAACGGTTGTGTTAGAAACAGCCATTGAGTTTGGATTCTGACCGGCGATTAAAAATGGAGAATTGATTTTTCGCTGATAATATTCCCATAAAGTCATTAGAATTTCTGATTTTGGTTGCCAAACATTCAATATTACTTCGCTTATAATCACTAAAAGGACTCGCATGTTCTCTTCCGATTGATCATTTTTTAAATACTTTCCTATTAAATTCTCTAAATATTCATAGCTGCATTTAAGCTTAGTGACATTATCTTCATTAATGAGTTTAACAATTTCACTAATGATCCAAATTGCAAATTGATCATGATTCTTGCATGCCATAAATTGAGAGTTCCTTAACAAAACTTTTTTTGAAATGAATCTTTCATAAAAACTCTTTCCAGTTCCAATTTCATCAATTACGCTTGACAATACGTTCCAAAATTCTAAATTTTGATCACTAAGTTTAGTCATAAATAAATGAAGTAACTTCCAGACATCTTTAACGCAAGAACAGATAAATGGAGAAGTAAAGACAAGATTTGCAGAATTTGATTTTTGGAACTTGGACACAGAAAGCATAATTAAGTCAAACATTAACAACTTTAACTCACAATATAGTTCAGAATCATCACTTCCGATTTGTCCATTCACAAAGTCTAGTTTATAGATTATTGTTAAGTATATCCAACGACATTCAAGCATGAGATGAAGAAGATGATAACTTGATGATGTTGAGACATTTCCATCTTTGCAAAACGATAAATGGATCATTGTAAAATTTGACATGGAATCGTATGTTCCTAGAATTGTCCTTATATTCCTAAGTTGATTCTCATTCAAATTTTGGTAATTACACCGAAGTAAAAGCATTAATTTAGTGACATCATTCCTGAGTGAATTGAATGTTTTTTGGAACTGCTGATCAACACAATCTAAAGATGACATTGCGATCTGCTGAACATTTGATCTTGCCATTTGTATAAGGATGTCATAATTGCTGAATTCTGTATCAATATCAAATTCAAAGAGCTCAATTTCCTCGACTGGAAGTTCCATAGATTGATGATTGAATAAATTCTCAAGATCCTTTTTAAAAACATTTTCCTCAAAATTATCGGATGACGTGTCTCCACGACAGTTAAGATAAATCGAGAATAGATCGATGCACACTTTATCCTCACATGCATCTTCAATTATGCTTTGTTGATCTTGAATTAATTAATTTATTAAATCTTGTTTAAAAATGTTTTGCAAAATTTACCTTCAGTTCCTACATCCTCATTTAACAGTTCCTGATACTGCGAATCGAATGCAAATATATCCTCATCCATTCCTTAATCGATCTTAATGCAGAATGGTATTTAAAAAGCTTTAATTAACACAGAATATCACTTAAACTTACACGAACAAAAACAACTTTTTCCCGCCATCGAATGTTTTCGCTATTAAAAATTCAAATATTTTTTCACCGTTATAAAGTATAGCTTTCTAGATCAGTGATTTTTAAATTGAAACGTGATCTGAAACATGTTTGAACAAAATGTGATGTTTTTAATAATAAAACAACTTGCATTTACTTTTTTCATGTTTATTTGCTTTTTTTAAATTCTGAAATTTTGAAATCATATACAGTGAATGTAAAAATAAATACAGAAAGTTTTAAATGAAATATATGTAAATTTAAAAGAACAATTTTTTCGTCATTAGAGTAAAGTTTTTTCTTTGTGAAGATGTAATCATTCATTCCAAATCAATATGGTTAGGCTATTGATGGTCAACAAAAAGCAGCTGTTTATCAACTGTTTATTAACATATATTTTATATTGGAGAAATTGAATAGTTTGACCTTTCTTAGTGTTCTAAAATTAAAATCAAAATTTCTTCCTTTTGCAAGCTCAATATCTGAAACTTTCGTTAATATTCAATTTCTTCAATTTTAATTAAACAACTCTTAAAATAACTTCAATAAAAAGGGAAACAATTTAATGGAGAGGAAACTTAAAGACTAGAAATAACTCAATAATAATAATAATATAAAGAAACATTTTTGGACAACTTATCGCTAAAATAATATAATTAAGTTTGCGTTTCAAATTATCAAATGTAAATCGCGTAACTCCATTTTTCATCTTTTTGGACTTTTTTGATTTGTTTACATTTAATCTTTCAAAACGCTATTTTAAACATAGAAAAACCTATGGTACGCCAACGAGTCCTTATTTTCGATATTGATTTTTTTTTTGGGACCTTATTTTCGAGCATGAGTTCAAATTTTTTTTTCACGTTAAATTATTAATGTCTAATCTCTTTAATTAATGGTTTACATATTTGTTTTTCATCATCAAAATGCTAAAAGAATCCACTCAACTGTAATGAATCATTACTGATTTGCTAAACAATTAATGCAAGTGAATTAATGACATTTTAATTTTCAATGTAAACAACAACAAAATTTTTTGAATATTTTTGAAAAAAATCATATTAAACTAATGTTTCCTGCATTTATCATCGATTAAACGATTAAATGAGTGTTGATTAACATAGTAGAAGGATTCGATTCCTAAATAATAAGTGAATTAAGTCAAAAATTGCGAAAAGTTAAAATTTTCATAAAAAATATGATTTCCGAAATTGCGAAATTTTGTTCGAAAAACATTCGAAACAAGTTTAAACTTATTTTGCTCCAACGTTGACATCGTCTCTTGGCATATCATAGAGAAAAACACATGAGGATGGAGATAGCTTTAGACTGCCAGGACAAAGTCTCTTCTAATTTGCATAGCAATCTTCATCAGAAATCTAAATCCTCAGAAATAACAATAACATCCATTCATACCCATATTCTGTCAAAATGTGTTTTCCTCACAATTTAGTAAAATTTTATTTTCAAGAAAGAATGAAAATGAAAAATAAACATCTCTTATGTCCTTAAATTGTAAATGAATAAGTTTTTCTTCAATCTTTTTTCTCTCGGATTTGAGAAAAATTTGTGAAAATATCGATTTCAAAAAGTCTTTTTTTTGTGAATGTTCTTTCGCACTTAATGATTTTTTTTATTTTAACTCTTATTGTAACTTGTAATGTTTTTTTAAAAAAATCATTTAATGTCATAAAAGTTCTTTTTAAATGATCAAATCTCTCTTTTATCTTTTTTTTTCTGCAAAAATATTTCATTGAACTTTTTTTTAAAAATTATGGACATTTGTAAACTATGTGTGCAGTTTATAGATTTTTTTCATGTTAATTCTTAATCACTTGAATGTCGTGCAAGTATAATGAAAAATTAGTTTTTTGAATGGAATTTACTTTCTGATTATTTCAAAAGATTTGACAACTTATTTAAAAATTAACGATTATAATCACATTGATCTGATCAGCTAAAAGTTTAAAAACCAGTCAAAGGATTTAAATTTAAGAGTATCAACATTTTCAGAAAGAAAATCCCATCAGACGAAAATTTGTAATTTTCATGAATTCTTTTATGTCACTATTAGAAAATAGAAATTTCCATTTGCTTACAGCATAATTCAGGTTCCCATGTGCAACTTCTTCCAGATGAAAAAATATTCATTTAATGATGATCATCGTCAAGTAAAAAAGAGGAAAAATGATTCTCAATCATTTCAGTCAAATTGTTAATTTTTAGATTCTTAATAATTTTTTCTTCTTCAGATTCGTTCCTTTTTTTGTATAAAATTTCCGTAAATACTTATGCGAAACAAAAAGAAATAAATAAATTTTTAAATCCAAACCATCGAACTCCCATCTGCCAATATATAAAAAACTTTACTTCATAAAGCTATCAAAATTTTTTACTTTAATAATTTGAAAATCTGCCTCAAAGGCTTCATTCAATATTAAATTTTTGCACACCGTTACAAAACATCGAGGGACTCAATCACTCTTTACCTTACAAACAAAATAAAAATTAAAATAAAATTAAATAAAAAAATCTTCCTTTTTAAATGAAAACAAAAACAAAAACACACTTAATTTTAATTTTATTTTGAAAAGTTTCAAATTTTTTCTTTTCTTTCTTTTTTTTGTGTTTTTGATCCCGAATTTATTTTCTTTGAAATATTTTGTGAATTTCTAACAGACAACGACTGAAACTTCTTGAAAGAACTTCTGATAATCTATAGTAGATTATCTGTTAAAGATTTATTTAAAGTCAGGCATAGGAATTGACTGAAGATAAGCATTTAAGGTTTGTTCTTCACAAGATTCAATCAATTGTGTGTGTGAAGCTGGCGGGAACAGGTTCTCAGATCAAGTTGAAACTTTGTCAGAATTACGTCCATATTACGTCCATTTACGTCCCGTAATTAAATATTTTCGTCCTACTTCCTATGACTGGATATACCACTTTCAATATTTGGGTATCTTTCCCGCCAACTTCACTTTTTCAGCGGGAACCAATTACGAAATTAATTTTAATTATACATATTATATATCAAAACTGATCTCCTAATTACGTCCAATTTCGTCCCGTAAAAATTTTTGGAATCGGATATAACCAGCAAGAGTTATGGACTGTCAAAGTTTTGGACAGTACCACTTGTGGACCAATATTTTTTTTCCCCAAAAACCTACCATGTTATATATCAAAACACGTCTACTTTTTGTCAAGAGCTTAAATCTGATAGAATTATTTAAGTCCAATCTGTCATTTTGGACTTATTGCAGTTTGTTGTTCTTTCATGATGATTCTCAATCAGTTTCCTTTACTTGAGTTATATGCTCTTTTCTGACGAAATAAATTTTTACGGGACGAAATTGGACGTAATTAGGAGATCAGTTTTGATATATAATATGTATAATTAAAATTAATTTCGTAATTGGTTCCCGCTGAAAAAGTGAAGTTGGCGGGAAAGATACCCAAATATTGAAAGTGGTATATCCAGTCATAGGAAGTAGGACGAAAATATTTAATTACGGGACGTAAATGGACGTAATATGGACGTAATTCTGACAAAGTTTCAACTTGATCTGAGAACCTGTTCCCGCCAGCTTCACACACACAATCAATTTTATCGATTAAAATTCATCACATCGTCATATAGAACAGTAATTTTATTGAAACCTAGCACTGCTTATCATGCCTAATTTCAATCAATTCCAATCCACAACATGTTCTTTCAGGTGATTTTGCGATAAAGTTACTGACTCATAAAATAAAATGATCTTTTTATTATAATTTGGTGTTTTTTTGATGAAAACTAGTTTTTCTATAAAGATTGGATTAAGACTTAAGACGCTAAGCGCCCTTCCTAGCAATCCTATCAATATGAAATCCCATAAAAATCAAAACCAATCCAATCTTTTACTGACATTTTGTAACATGTTTTGTCTTGTTTATTTCTATTATTTCTTTGTAGCATGTTAATTTATTAATGAATTAATTAAGAAGAAAATACTAATTAACAGATAAATAGAATTTTTAAAAATGTTTAACGTTCTCTATAAATTTTTCATTTTTTACTTAAATAATTTATCTTTCATCATTTCATTCCTTAATTCTGTTTTAGCAAAAAATGGTAAAGCGAATTTTTTAATTTCTTCTTTTCTTATTTTTCATTTTTGTGTGCTTTTTGTAAGTGTTTTTCATTACTTTGTATATGGTATAATATATTTATTAATTAATAATTTAATAGTATTCATTAAGACTTATTGTGGACTGCTGGCATTTGCCTGAACTAATGCTAATGTGGCCAATGTATCAAGTCCAATGAGTCCTACGCGTGAAATCTCTTGTTCAGTTACATCTGCAGTACGACGAATTGTTTGCTTTGGAGCTTTCCTCTTTTGACTTCCAACAGCTGTGATTGGCTTTGGAATGGTTTTATCTTTGGGTACAGCTTGTGCATTTTGTTGCTGGCGATGCTTTGCCTTGTCTAAAATTATCAAGATTATAAAAATTAATATAATATGATGCAAAAAGTTTCAATGTCAAGGTCACAAAGTGATACGGAAGATATTGGACGTGACAAAAGAAAATTCATTTCATCATGTAAGGAAACAGAAACTTATTTCAACTTCCGATCACGTTCTGACATCAGCATTAAATCATTAAATTTATAGAGAAATGCACTATCCAAAGCATGATTCAAACAAATATGGAACTTACGTGAAAACTTTTTCTTCTTTTTCATTGCCTTCTTCCTATTTAAATAGTCTTCAAGATCAAGTGATGGCAATGTCATAATTTTATCATTTAGATTAAAATCATTTGCATCAGCATTACGTGCCTCAGATGCTTCATCACTCTCAGGTGAATGTACCATTTCGTCAGATGAGTCAATGAGCTCATTCGATTGTGGATGTTTCACATGTATTGATACTTCTTGTGGTTTGCAATAGCCATTATGCGGAAAGTGAGCAGATGCACTTTTTGATGTCAATGCATTTGTACTTTTCTGTTTTGTTGTTTTCTTCGTAGGCGTCATAAATTGTTCATAACGTTTACCTTTACATGCCCGTGATTTACCAGCTAATTCATCATCGTACATGTCAACAATTTCATCACTTTTGCGCTTCTTAGTCTGAGAATCTTGAATATCGTCCTTAATTTGAGTATCTCCATAATTTGTGCCATTAATACGTGGCGACGTTGATGATTCAATCATGAGACTTGATAATCCGCCCATTTGATCAATCGATGCGAGTTTAAATTGACCAATTCCGGAATTACTTTGTGACACTTTTAAATTTCTGGTTGAACGATCCTTTGGTGTAATTTCAATCATTTCCTCCCCATTTGGTATTGGTGATGATGGTGTCACTGCATTACTATGATCACGATCATTGCTAGGTCTTGTTGATAATGTACGTAATGGTGGTGCAGGTAATTTGTACCATTTGAAGTTTGGATTTTTTGAGAAAAATACGTCCTTATACTGGAATTTAAAAAATAAAAATTGTTTTTTATTATTTGTGTATTTATTAGGTTTTGAGCTAATGTCAATGAACTATAGTTTTATATGCACATATGGAAATACAAAGTTAATTCATTAGCAAGTGTTCTCAATAAATTGAATAAGGCAATTTTCTCATTATTACTACTTCTTTAATAAAATGCAGATAAATTCTTTAATGAGTTTAAACAGAATTGACATTAAGATGAATAAAATTCTTATTTTAATACTCGCATTAGCGTTTGTCATTACTTGACGATCACTTAAGGTGTGCATTCATTCGGATGAAAAAGAGTTGAATTTGAATTAAAAAAGTTATTGTTATAAAATTAAACGATTAATGATTGGTGCTTTAAATTAGTGAGAGCTGTGTGTTGCTTACCAAATGAAGAATCATCTGTCAAAATTAATAATATTTTCATTCTCATTCGACAATCAAGTTTTTTTCTTGGAAAATAATCAAATGCTCATCATGACACTTGAGCTTCTTTTGACTATCCAGCTAGTTAATTTTCAATTACTTTGTCACCTCTACTATAATTAATTCCTATTGATTTTCATTCACTTAATATGTTTCAAGTTAAAGACCAGCTTAATGTAATGTTAGCATGTTTCTTATGTTGATATAATTGCATATCAAGTAAAATTGTGTGAAATCGAAAATAAAGTAAACCTGTTCTAGTTTTTTAGTCGACAAATCGATTTTCTCTTTCTATTATATGTCAGATGACATTGAACTAAAATAAAATGAAATATGAAAGAGAAGTCAGTGCCAATTGACATTATTTATTAACACATTTAATTTGGATTCTCGCGTGAAAGTTTAAGGATTTTAAATGGAAATTTAAGTGAAAAATCTTATTCAATCTAGAAAGTGATTAAAAAAGATGAAAATTACAATGGATCACTAGCTTCAAACTGAGTGTTATTCACGCATTATTTTGCATACAATCGCTTGCTCCCGCCTCAATGTCTCTAGAATATTTCAATGTAAAAACCACACGTTTGCGGCGATTAATGATAAAATTTCAATTAATGCATTTGAATAAAAGCTTTGAGGATACAATGATGCATATAATATGGGTATTATTATCTGTTACTAACTTAACATTTTTCATTGGCACAAAAGAAATGTGTGGTGGAAACAATTGAAATTGAAAAGTAATAAAAAGCCACAATATATTTTTGAATTGCATTTGACGCTCATTTAAATAAGAAATAAAAATTCGACAAGTTAAGCATTATTTCCTCTTTCGATAGACGTTAACCTTTTATTACAAGTGGCACTAAAAACCGTTCACCTGTTAAACTTGAATAATAATTATTTCGTTTTTTGCCCTCAATTTACACTGCAGTTGCAAAAGTTGTGACACGCAGACTTTTTAATTAAATCAATTAAATATTAATCTTATAATATGGATATAACCTTCTGAACATTTATTGGAAATTTCATATGTATTAAAACAAATCTGCAGAACTGTGAGAACGATGTTAAAATTAATAATATAAACAATAAAACAAAACAAAAACACAAAAACCGCAATATGGGTCACACATAAACTTCATATACTGTATATTCTTGTCTTCAGTTTATTTTCATCCTAAATACATTTGTTGCTTCTTTAATTTTCATTCCCAGAAAACTTTTTTCGTCATATAAAAAATTATTTATTATTTTGAACATTAGTCATCTTAAACTTATTAAGAATATCCAATAATAATTGTTAGTCAACGTAAATGCGTTTCAATTTTTGATGTCTTCAGCACATCCTACACTTTTAAATTTCAATTGTTATTTTATTCTCTCAACTCTATTTTTGTTTTTAAACGTTTTCGTTTTATTTCTGCACATGTATTTGAGAACATGTGATAAACGTTTTCAAACGTCTTAAAGTAAATTTTATTGTAAACTTTTTGTGACTTTTTTTTGTGGCATCACTGATGTTTGCTTCTTCTTTAAACGCGAGTCTTCATGATGTCAACGAGTACACGTGCAACTTGAGAATAATGGTATAAAGTGAAATCAATGAAAATGAAATTAAAAGGAGAAGAATCGTTGGCTTTGAAGCATTTTAATGGGATTATTGTGTATGAACAATGTCTGAATATTCAGTAAACAAATTCTTAGAATAACAAATCGAATGATTGATAATGCAGAAAGGAAAATAAATGGTGAATGTTGACCGAGACTAAGGAATGACTGTAAATATTCTAATGAATTTATTTCGAATTTCATGATTCTATGGAAATGATTCTATACATAAAAGGAAATATCTTGTATTACAATTTATTTTGAAATACAGTTCCTACATGCTATAATATTAGATTTTCTAGAAATAGAATAATTCATGTATTCTAGTAAACAACCTATCGAGTCAATCACTCAGAAAACCAGCACTTCATTAAATGTTTTTATATAACAAAATCAGTAAGATATTCTCAACCATGTTCAGCCATAACAAAACAACTAATAAATCGCTCAACCCAGTAAATCAAACTACATAAAAAAAACTCATTATACAGAATAAAAATGCATTAAAAATCATCAGAGCGACACATTGAAGCAATTAATTTATGAGAAAAACATTGAAATTCATTAAAAATCTGAATCAATTCTGAGAAAATTTAAATTTCAAAGTCAATAATAAAAAACACCGCATAATTTGCATGCAATAAGTTGCAGAATGTGTTGAAATTGAGACAATAACGAGAAAATAAAATCATTTAAATTCCTCTTTGAAAATATTTATAGTACTTAACAAAATCGCTTACTCAGTCAGTTCAGTCAACTATAATAATTATCGCATATGGTTTTACGTGATGTCATAAAACAAACTTTTTCATAGCTACAATTTCACTGCTTGCGAAATATTTACAAAACTAGATATTATGTTGAAATTTTCTTGGCATTGAAAGCAATTTTCAGTGTATTACGAAGATTTAAAGACAGCGATAACAGGAAAAAATAAAAATCGTTGTGCTTCATAAAAAATTTTTCTTTAGTATGAATTTCGCCATAAAACATTATTAAGGATTTTGGGGAATGACTCGAGTAGCACCATCAAGATATGAGAAGCACTGAATAAATTGGTTAATTTTCATTTTCGAGTCTAAAAGAACCAATAAATTTAAAAATTTATACCCACTTTGACTTTTTAAAATAATATCCAATTATTGATTACAGGCTTCCTTTCCATTTATTTGTAACATGCTTTGTAGTTCAAGGATTTTCTATTCGCACAAAGCAATGGCAGCAAAAAATGTCATTGAATTCGTTTTGAGGATAAATTATGCATGTACAAAAATAAAGCTTATGTTCCCAGCAGGTGACTGTCGGTTACACGTGCTGATGTGGCGAATTTTTATTTGGATTTAGAGATTTTGCTACAGCGCTTAAACAGATTTAAATTATTTTTCACAATCACCTTTTTTGACCTTTATTATTCCAAGATAAATCTGAGTTCTCATGCTTTTGCAAACGTTTCTACTTAAAAGTTCTCAAAGGACATCGAGCTTTGATTTCAAAGAATTTCTCGATTTCAATGAATTATTTATAAAATCAAGCTTTGTATCTCAAATTCAAAGAATATTACAAAGACTCAGTTAAGACTCTTAAAATTTCTAGTCGGGTATAAGAAATCCCACAAGACTAAAAACAGTATTTATGATTGTTGAATGGAATTTCCTTTCCCGATGGGTTCAAATTACTTTGTAAAAAGGAAATGAGAATGAATAATATGAAAGGAAATTTTCATCGAAACTCCCCGAACTCATTTTCATGTTCATGTACGAAAAGCGAAAGTCGATGGAATTCTCAATCACATAGAAACGTTATTTGGAAAATTCTATGAGTCTCTTAGAGTTTATTCGACTTTCGTTCAGTAAAAATTCGTTAAAAATCCACAAAAAAGAACTGAACAAAAATTTATAAAATAGAATCACATCATCTGTGCATGCATTTTACTATTTGCATATGATTTTGTCTATCTGTATTGGTGTCATTGTAACTCACATATGATTGACCTTGATGAGAAAATCGCTCATGTGTGACTGAATAAAATAAAAATTGATGCAAATTTTGTAAAATTGCAACGATGCATGTGTCACAGTTCAGAAGCATTTAGGATCTGCTAATTTTATAAGATCTCAATGATCTTTTTAAAGCGGAGCAGAACTTTATCGTAATTCGAGATTAAAACAAAATGAAACTGACTTACGCTTATTTTCAGTAAGATAATAATCACTGCAATGAAGCAACATTTCGGGATGATTCAGTCCTATTTATAAGTGATTTATCATTCCGTTCAAAATAATTGTAAGATTTTTGACTGGTTGAATGAACAGTTGATTGCATTTTATGATAAGCCTTCGCCGTTCAGTTATGACGTCCAAGGGGGGGGTCAGCAAGAAAAGAACAAAAGAAATTCTTGGAAATCTATTGTTCTTTTTTAAAAATTGACCGTTAATTTCGGACGTCATAATTGAACGACCTCTTAAAAATTTAAAGATATAATTATTTTATTTCAATTTTTGTTCGAATTGGTTCAACCTTTCTGACTTAAACTAATTTGATAATTTAGTAATCTAGTTTAACATTCGATTTTAAAGTCTCAATGCCAATGCCATTTGCGAATTTATTTAATTAATTTAATATCCCATAATTTTTGTAGGTACATCAAAGTATTAATAACATTAATTTCAACTTACATTTTTTGCCAAATCTTTGTACGGTAATTTGTCTTCATTAGGCAAAAATGCCCACCAGTCACCGAGGATTTTTGTAATTGAACTGCGGGAAATAATTGATTAGTAATTATGGAAAAAATCGTCAGAAGGCTAAACTCACCGATTTTCAAGATTTGGGTATTTTTCACGAACAAGTGCACGATGACGCTTGCAAAAGATTAAAAAGGCATTCATTGGTCGACGAACATGATGTTCAGGTTTTCTATCATCAGTTTTATTGCTTGCATTATTATTATCATCTCGGCTTCGACTCTCACCATTCTCATTTTCATCCTCAATGTCACTAGATGCAACATCTCTACTGCTACTATCATTACTATTATGATTAGTATTATCATTATTATTTTTATTATTATTTCTATCGCTATCATTCATCATCATTTCTGGCACTTTCGAATAATTGTGAAGATTTGTTGGATATTCGTTTCCAAATGACATCATCACAGCCCTGCGTCCATTAACATCACCATTCTGTAAAAGCGTTGTTGCTGTTGATGATGAATTCTCACCAGGAGCTTTGCGGACAACCTCAACTCTTACAGAATCTTTGGCATCATTCACTAGACGCGTACATTCATTTTTATTTGGCCCTATTGGCTCATAGTTGATTGAAAAGTCCACATCGGGACGGTAAATGGAAAATTCTTTTGCATTATCATTATTGTTATTAATATTACTAGATGTGGTTGTATTTTTGGTAGTATGACTATTATAATACAGGATGGATGTATCCATCGCTTGTTGATTCATATTACTCAACATTTTGTGTTTATGTGTCTGTCTCTCTATCTCTTTCACTCTTTCCTCGTGCGGTTATTTGTGACTAAATCATTTAAATTTTCTTTTCAGTTTTTCACTCAAAAATTCAACAACAAAAAAAAAATTCAACGCAAAAAATAAAAATTCAACTTTTTTTAGTTCCTTAAAGATTATTATGAGTTTTTCATAAATAACAAGGAAGAAGACTTAAAAAATTAAAAACCGAAAAAAATTGAGTTGATTGCGAGGTACTTTATGGTGGCATTTCATAAGCAATTATTATTGAACTTTGCTAGTTTTTTTTTCTTTCTCTGACTTCACTTGATTGCTGATTATTACTTGTATTTGATGACTCCAAGTATCTGTAATTAGAAAACATAAAAGAAAACGTCAAATTAATGATTATTGCTTAAATAATTGAATTTTTGTGTGACACAATGAATTTTAATTCACAAGTTTTACTTTAGGTTAAACTTTTTAATTTTTTTTATCAGAGTTCTTTATGAAGTCATAGCTTCAAAAGTTGTGCAATATTTATGACTTTTACTTTACAAAGAAGTTGTGCAATTTTGTTCAAACAAAGAAAGTAAAACAAAAGATCAACAGTCTTATATTGATTATTAGGTCAAATTAGCACGTCCAGCAGTTAACGTCAATGTCATCAACAAGCTTCCGAGCTTTAAATTTAATATTCCATCCGAGATACAAACATGATTAGTCTTCAGGTCATGTACACATTTCGTGCCTCCAATGAACACCAGTCATTAACATAATCATTTATTTCGCGTATCTCCCATAGGCAAGTTTTTATTGTTTCAGCAGGGCTACTAACTCAAATTTAAATTAAAATTCATAATGAAATTATCTAGATTATTGAATTAATTGATTGGCAGTAGTTTATATGCTACTTGCTTTACATCGCGTATGCTCCGCTCATTTGGCGAAAATTAATGTTATTTAACGAGGCATTAACATTGAATGAAATCTATTGAAATGGAATGCACACTCATAAATCAATTCCAATCAACTTAGAGTCTTATGTGAATAATGTATAAAAGAGAGCGAGATAATGTGTGGATAATTTGAGATGTTTGGAGATTATGAAATCAACACTGAAAAATATTTTTAATTCATAAACAGCCTAGCTTCCTATTGCGATTTTTATTCGATGTGATTCATAAAAATTTCATCACTCGAATTAATATAAAGGAATAGAATTTTGTCTAGATGTTTAAATGAGTTTAAAGATTTAATCATTAATTGGATGTCATCAACATAGGGAGATAATCAATTCTTGCAGCCAATTCATTCATAAATGAGGATGATTTATCAAGTTATAAACATAAAAATTTAAAAGATATTTTTACAAAATGAGACTTTATGCTGAGCAAATAATTTCCATAAAGCAGAACTAGAAATAATAATAATTTCATTTATTTGAATAAGTCTGTAAATTTCAAATCATAATATGCACATTATGTATACAAACTTATTATAACTGCACCAAAATAAGCTATGATTAATTATTATTGTCATTATTATCATGATTAAGGGTGAAATAAGCAAGCATGAATTCAATTTATTATTGCATCATCTTAAGGGGTTATTAACTTATGACGTTCATAATTCAATGCGGACCCCTCTTTTGAGATTAAGGCATATCTCAATTTAATATAAATATTTTTGTATGGACCCGTATGGACATTTAATGACAATGAGGAGGAGGTTATAAAATCCATTTTTCTATTAACGTCATAGATGAATAACCCCTTGAAGCAAACAGAATTGAATTTTAGCAAACATCCTGACAGAAAGTCACTACACACATCCATGAAAACATAGATAAATGAAGTGACTGTAGTAATATATTTTATGCTCGTAACGCATATAAAATAAATCCACATACATCATTGCTTTCATGTATACATTAGACATACATGCATATAAAGTTAAACGATCCATCCAGTGACTGTAAAATTATTGCCACATGAGCATATATAAATAACTTCATAGTGATAACGACTCCAAATGAGATATTAAGGAAATGAAATTAGCATAAAACATATAAAAAGAAATTTTAAAAAATAAATCATTTTTAAGATTGAAAGTTTAAATATTTGCCTTTGGATTGGAATTTTGGGATCTAATAAAAAATCCAGAAATATGGGTTAATTGCTTTCAAAGTGGTTTCGATGTTGAGAGGTAAAAAACAAAATCAAGGCAGAATTTTAAAATTTATTTATCAGAAAATAAATTCTCACTGCTGAGAATTCCTTCAATTATCATTGAAAACATCAAGTCCATTTTTAGCAGTGTTAATTAATTTCACGTGATGCTACTTTACTGAACAAATATTTAATGAACTAGCAGTGTAAGAATTATTTACATTTAAATCTTTTGAAATTAAAAGTACTTTTTAGATTAAGAGAATTAATTCGTTGTGAATTCATGAAGAGTGCCTAAAACTTTTCAGTTTATTTTATGATTTCGCACATTTCTTTCCCATGTAAACTTTCTTTTTCTTCATCTTCCGCCCTTTTCACATTTATTTGAAAAGAAGAATAAGTACAATAGGAAAAATCCTCAACCAATATCCGGGCCGAAAGTAAATAATAAACTTTTCAAGCTCGATTACTAGAATTGATGCCTATTGAACATATCAGGATTGAATATTTAATTAACTCTGTGTTTAAATATTGATATCTTGGTTTCTATGAAAATAACAGACAAATATTGAAAACTCTGTATAATTCTTCGAATTGAACAAAAAGAAGTAAAGCTGTTGAATCACAAGGCATTTTTTTGTATTACGAAATATTCGTAAAGTAAATTCAAATTTATTCATCACTTTTTCGCATGCTTATATTTTGGTTTTATCAACATACACAACCACATACGCTTTCTTTCAGTCTTAATGGACATTTTTTCTTCCTTCTTTACAAAAATGCTGATAATGAAAATTTATAAAAATATCGAGTAAAAATGTTTCGTTTTTTGTTTCTTCTTCTTATTTGGAATAAAAATAAACAAACCATTAAAAAATGAGATAAGTTTCTTTCCTAACAATGTTACTATTTACTTCATATTACTCAAATACATTTGAGAGTTTATTTATGTTTCGGTTGATGAAAATTTCTCAGAATTGGTCGCAAATTGTGATTATTTTGAGACTATGACAAATTTCCAAAAAATTGAGCATGGATAATTATGCAGCTGGAGTCATTAAGAGGCATGAGTATTGATTAATTTTAAAACAATTTCGGCAAGTGGCCGTTCACTAATTACGTAACGCTTTTAGGGGGGGGGGGGGGGGGGTGTCTAAGATTTTGTTACGTTTCAAACAAAAGAAATGTGTTTTCACACAAATTTTGTTACGAGGGGGGGGGGGGGTTTAAAAAGTCGTTTTTTCGCGTTACGTAATAAGTGAAAGGCCCCCAATTAAAAGGAGTGAAATTCCGTGACATAACCAATAAATTTTGATCAATAAGTTACAATAAAGTCCGAAAATAATAAAACAATTGGAAGTTAATTTACTTAAGTAAATGATGAATAAGATCCATCAGTCCAAAGTAACAAAAACTTCATGGTAAATTTACTCATAAAGTCAAACAAGTCAACAGGCTGCTTATAAATAAATTGAATGAAATTGAAATGTAAGATTGGATGAAAGAAAGCTAAGAGCTTACTATGGATTACAGATTACAGTGATTCAACATAATTTTCATTTTCATTGTTAATTTCTTTCTTTCTTTCGCTTTTTCTGTATGTTCTTCTTTCACACAATAAACTGTTACTTTTTAAGTGTCTGTGCAATAACATACAGAGCATAGTAAAGTAGCAGCATGGTTTTATAGTGTAATGTGATACTACTTGAAGAGGTCAAGAGAAGCTAATGAGCTACTTCTCATAAATTCTTTGTAGTGTGTTTGCCTTTAGTGAATTTTGTCAGATTTTGAGACTTATTTAAATACCAATTACTCAATGAGGATGAAAGCTACTTGAATTAAAACTTTACAATGCTTTGAAGCGATCATTCATATATGACTTGCTAGTTTGAGGAGAGAGTGGTCTGAAGCTACTTAGAATATAAAATGATGCATTTCTGGATTCTTAAAATTCATTGGAATTTAATTGTAAGATTAACATGTAATGCCTAATTTAATTAATTTATTATAAAGAAGTTAAGCTGCTTAATGACACTAGTTTTAAAAAAATGTACTTTAAACAGCTTTCGATATCCGAAAAATTAAATTGAGCGATTGTGTTCAATTAATGTTAATATAAGATTAATTTGAATGAAGAATAAATTATTCCTACTTATTGCTTTACATTTATTACTAAACTTATCGACGTAGTTAATCGAAAAATAATCCATGAACGAGAGCAACAATATTCTGCCTAGTAAAGTAATTGGATATGATTGAATGAAGCAAAGTAATTTCAAAGCAACAGCTGATTAAGTTTAGATTTTCTTTTTAAAGTTCTTTAGTAGTTAAGTGACTTAATTTCAATTATAAACTGACATGAATAAGATGTTATTTGTCAAATCAAATCAATTGGTGATTTGTCATGATACTTTGATATTTTCGATAATTTGGAATGCGCTTTGGAACATTAAATTTCTTTTATCAATGCATGTGCGCGTGTAAGTACTATAAAATAGATAAATACAAACAACAGTCAAGTTATGATAAAAAATATTGTGTGCATCAAGACACTCAGTTTTGTATTTATGAACATTAGCTTAGCAGGGCATGTCATGTGCATTTATACACAGTTTAATTTGCATTTTAATTTTATTTTGATAATATCTATTTAATATTGTACATATTCCGTAATTTCATTAACTAGGCTAAGCATGTGCAGTAATATGCGTGAGTATTTATGATTTTTATATTAGACATTTATGGACTGTATAGATATGAGAAAGTAGTTTCTAAATAGTCAAGAATTACAATTTTTCTGTGCCATTTCACCGTTTCTGCTTGGTGATATTCATTAAATGCTCACTTAATATTGAAATAAAACTTTGAATCTTGGATCAATTGTATAAAATGATTACAAATAATATATTTCTCAGAAGTTATTCCTTTCACATTGTGATTAAA